ATCTATTTATCTGTGTGTCTGTCTGTCTGTCTGTCTCTGTATATCTATCTGTCTATCTGTCTGTCTCTGTGTCTGTCTGTCTGTCTGTCTATCTGTCTGTCTGTCTCTGTGTCTGCCTGTCTGTCTGTCTATCTATCTGTCTATCTATCTGTCTGTCTGTCTGTCTCTCTGTGTCTGTCTGTCTGTATATCAATCTATCTATCTATTTGTCGATCTGTCTGTCTATCATCTGTCTGTCTGTCTCTGTCTGTCTATCTATCTATCTGTCTGTCTTGCTGATTAGACAGCATGATTATTGCACAGGTGTGCCTTAGGCTGGCCACAATAAAAGGCCACTCTAAAATGTGCAGTTTTATCACACAGCACAATGCCACAGATGTCGCAAGTTTTGAGGGAGCGTGCAATTGGCATGCTGACTGCAGGAATGTCCACCAGAGCTGTTGCCCGTGAATTGAATGTTCATTTCTCTACCATAAGCAATTATCAATGTTGAAAACAGTCGTGCTGCACAATATTTTTGTGGAAACAAATTGTGATATGAATTTTTTTTTTAGGATTCAGAAATAGAGTATTTATTTTAAAAATATATTTTGTAACTTTACAAAAGTCCTTACTGTCACTTTTGGTCAATTGAATGCATCCTTTGTAGAAAATAACCACGAATTTCTTTAAAAAAAAAAAAAATCTCAAACTTTTGAATGGTTGTGCATCATGGTTACAACATTGATGATAATCAGAAATATTTCTCGAGCAGCAAATCAGCATATTAGAATGATTTCTGAAGATCATGTGACACTGAAGACTGGAGTAATGATGCTGAAAATACAGCTAATATATTACATTACATTACAACAGATATTCACATAGAAAACAGCTATTTTAAATTGTAATAATGTTTCACAATATTACTGATCAAATAAATGGTACTGTATTATTTTTATTAATCAATGTCTGTGTTTGTGTGTTGTTTATCTAGTGAGCGTCCTTGAGCCCTGGAAAGGCGCTATATAAATAAAAATTATTATTATTATTGTGATATAAGTATGGGTTTATCATCATAATATAAAGTTTATAAACTTCAGCTCCCCCTGCTGGAGGCTCTACTGCAGTACCGCTGTGTGTTTTGTGCGCCTGCGCAGTAAGTCATCATGGGTTGTAGTGGGCGGGGTTTGTGCGAACCGCGTCAGATCCGCTGTGAGTGTAGATGGGTGTGTGAGACTCCGATACCCCGCAACCCGCTCAAAATAAACCCGGGGACACGTTAAAGCACATATACGGCTGCCTGTCCGCGGGAGAGGAGGAGCAGCGGGAGGTTTCGCTTCCTGGAGAGCCTCTCTGCGAGGGGGAATCGAGCCGGGCCATGGCGCGGGACTATGATTACCTCTTCAAGCTGCTCATCATCGGCGACAGCGGTAAGGAAACACCGAGGATGAGACGGGAAGCAGGCCTCGGCTCGCTTAGAACGACACAACATGAGCCAGAACCTCTTCAAATGCGTTATTTGTGCTGGATTTACACGTAACACAGACACTGATTAATCTGACAGCTTATAACTGACATTTGATGAGGTCGAGAGGGATGTTGTTTCTGATTTAGCTCATGTAATGGGCCTGGCAACAGTTTAGAGTCATTCAGTCTGGGTCTGTTCTTAAATTCTTTTTTTATTGTCTAATAAAGTAAGATATTAATATGTTACGTTGCTTGGCATGTTTGTTTAATTTTCTGTGACATGATGATGCATAAACAAACTTAGTATGTATCATGTCAGCCTGGGATCTATTTATTTAATTTTGAGATGTTGTACCTTACTGATATATAAATTAATCAATAAAAAAAAAATAAAAAATATATATATATATATATATATATATTATAACGTGAAAAATACTTCAAATGTTTTACAATTACATTTAAATTAAATTAAATTATATAAATAAAAAATATATATAATGTGTATATATTAATGTGAATAATATTTAAATTGTTTTAAAATGTTATTTTTATATATATATATATACATACACAATATGTGTTTATAGTAATGTGATATTAAATTATTGACTTTTTAAAAGTATAGAAAGTGAGTTATGACCACAGAGCTTATGAATGTCGTTTCATGTCGTCGGTGTGAAGCTGTAATGTTTTTCTTCTGTTTTTCCACAGGTGTTGGCAAAAGCAGTTTACTGCTGAGATTTGCTGATAACACATTTTCAGGTAGGTTCAACACGTCACATGTGCTTTTAACAAACATTAACTGTGAAAGAAGTACTAAGGGTTCGTCGTTATAGAAGCCAGAGATCTAGTATCTCGTGTTAATGAGTTGAGCTGCTGGAGGTCATGCTGACTTCTACAATCCTGCCAACAGCTGCACAGTAATTGCTGGTTAATGTAATAAAACTTACAGTAATACTAGCAAATTTATGACTTATGATAATAAAATCAGCAGGCTTGTAGTTGCCCTCTCTATTACGGCTTATTTCCAGGAGTGTTTTGTGATTTTTACGCTGATTTGTGTGTGTTGTTGCAGGCAGCTACATCACCACGATCGGTGTGGACTTCAAGATTCGCACGGTGGAGATCAACGGGGAGAAAGTCAAGCTGCAGATTTGGGATACAGCGGGACAGGAGAGATTTCGGACGATCACCTCCACGTGAGTGACACGTTAAACCGATGCTGCCTCCTGTTTCTGTTGAATTTTAGGACGCTTTCTTTTTAGTGCAATTATCAAATGAAGAATTCTTCAAATCTCAAAGGTTTCAGAGTGAAGCGCGGCACTGTGTCCATTTACACGTGAGCAGCGGTGTTTCTCAGGGCCTCGTGATTCGCAGTCAGTGATCCTCATGAAGTCCATCTGCATCGGAGTTTGAGTTGCTTTAATTTGGAAACATTTCACAGACTTCACAAACGAATTATGAGAACAAAAGAGAAGGTTTAAGGGCTTCCTGCAGGTTTGCATTAAAATAGACGTTTGATGGTTTAATGATTGAAAATGAAGAAATTATAACAAATCAGCATATTATACTGATTTCTGAAGATCACGTGGCACTGAAGACTGGAGTAATGATGCTGAAAATACAGCTGCACATCAGAAATAAATTACAGTTTACAGTCTATTCAAATAGAAAGCAGTTATTTTAAATAGTAAAAATATTTCACAATATTACTGCGTTTGGTGTAAATACAGGCTTGGTGAGCAGAAGATAATTCTTTATAGAACATTAAAAATCTTATCGTTCAAAAACTTTTGACTGGTAGTGTATATTTATGCATTTAGTAGACACTTTTATGTAGGGCTGCCACTAACGACTATTTATATTTCGATTAATCTATCGACTAATTTATCGGTTAATCGATTAATTTCCCACAAAAAAAAAATCAACAATTTTAAAGAGCATTTTATTAAACGTGCAACTTTGCCATTCAGTAGTGTACCATAAAAAAGTATAAATGTAAA